ACTTCTGGGCAATAAAACCGTAAAAAATGCAATTTTGATAAAACTAGGTGGAATGATTAAATTGCCATCACTAGTGTCCTGTCTAAATAAAAACCTTAAACACATTTAGAGTAGATAACCAGTGCTATATGGAGGACTATCACTAAGGACAAAAAAATAACGTTTCTACCAGACAAAAACCTGAAATTTTAATATTCCTGATCAAAAATAAAGACGTAAAGTAAATATATTACTTCTACTTTTCAGATCATTTGGAGCTGCTTTAATATAAATCTTTGTTCAAACATATATTACAATATTTTACATTTCAGTCTGTCTTGACCAAGACAAGCAGCCAAAACACCACAAAGATAACACCAAGTATGTTTCTGTCATATTTATGTGACAAGTTTCAACTTAGTTTAGCGATTCCTTTTTAATAAAAGAAACAAATATTAAAGGATAAACATTTAAAATGTTTATCCGTTACCAGAGTCTGCTCTGACTGGCAGCTCATGCAGCCATCCTGTTACATAACAGCTCTCCTGACTCTAAAGGGCCTTTGTTTTATTTAATTGGGTATGTCCTCTGCAAAGACATCAGAATAGGATTTACTGTGCAGTTCTGCATCCTTGTTGCCAGTCTGTCCTCTTTTTTTTAATTTTTTTATTCCATCTTCAGATATATTTTAGAAACTGGAATTCAGGCTGTTGTTTTGCTGGGATCGATTTTTGTCTTACAAGACAGGATGATGTAGGAGGGTGGAGACGAACAGGCACAAAGTAGGGGGAAATCTGGGAGCTGAGAGTTGTCAAACACAACAGAGATTTTTTTCGCTTCTACTGTCGGTTATTACCGTAATTGCTGCCGTACACATCACACCGCCGTATAAGTCGCATCCGTCCAAAATGGTATAATAAAGTGGAAAAAAACATAAATAAGTCACTTCACCGTATAAGTCACATCTATTATGCGTCACCGCTGACAACCCGGAAATGTGGGCCGGTGTTGTGCCAAAAATCGATTGGCTGCCAAATGGCGGCCGCGGGAGCGTGCACGGGAGGACTTTAACACGAATTTATGAAGAATAACAATTAGAAACAATTATTTGTTAGCTTAAAATTATAGCAAAGGTGTGTCTCAGTTTAACTTTTCCTTGATAAATGCACTATATTGGTCAAATCAGCTGCATTTCAAAAATCGATTTGCGGCTGCGGTAGCGCGCAGAGGGAGGACTTGCTATTCATTTCTTCGAAATTTAACAAGACAACCACCTAAAAACAATTATTTGTTTGCTCGACATCGTAAAAGTGTGTCTCAGTTGAACTTTTTCTTAATAAATGCACTTTAATGGTCAAATCAGCTGCATTTCGTCTGGGCAGCACGGAGGCATTTTGTTGCCCGTCTCTTCCCACATTACAACCCATCAGCTTGCTTTGGACCCACCATGGCAGTGATCCCTACGACCTGCAAGTATAAAGGGCCCGGCATACTCCATCCAATACGAACAGTCGACTCGCAGTCACGTGGTTGCAAGATTATCGTTTTTGCATGCCACGAGACACACGGCGCAGAGCTGCTGGGAAACCCCTCCTGCTGCAGTATACGTCAAAGCACTGGTGTCTTTCCACAGGGGTCTACTCTCCGTCCCTTCGTCCACCGTTTGGCCACAAATTTATCTTGAAGACAGCGCCGCACTTTTCAGCAGACAGACTCCTTTGTGCACGATGTCTGCACAATCGCCATCCAGGAGTTTTTGACCGTTTGACCATCTGAGCGTGTCTTGGAGTCGAACAGCTGAATGTCTGAGCGCTTTTCCACATAAACACGGCCACAAACTTCTGACCAATCGCACAATACTGTGCGCATACTTCTGTGAGACAAAGGTCGGCCCAGGCCGAAGCTGCTCTGAGAAGAAAAAAAAGGCGATTTACGTCACGCAACGACGTCTGCGAGAGCCGACTTTGCAGCTTCGGATAGAGTTTGCTGGGCCCTTAAGTCTGGGATATTCTTAGATATTCCAGTTTAGGTCAGAGATCAAGATTTATGACAGATTACATCATATTTTAAAATGAAAATATCACAACTCTTATCACAAACTTGACCTTTAGTGTCCTTTTTTTTAAAACAAGCCGTCCTTTTCATTGAGGCGTTGAGCTTTAAAACGCTAATCAAGCTCCACCACTCCTTCAGCTCAAACTGTGTGGTAACTGGGTTTTGGTCTCCTAACTGCAGGTCTGATGTGGTTCTTACCAAGTCTACTTTTCTGTCAGATCCTTTTCCTTTGAGGCTTTAGTAAAAATAGCAGCGGGCTGCATGGTTACATTAAGTGTGGTTGGCCTACATTCGCTGCTGCGGCTCAGCTTTCGTTTGCCTTTGAAGTGGGAAGAACAGTGGCTGTTTAAAAAGCACAATGGCCAACTCTTTCTGTCAACTGGAAAATTTGTTTATTACTTGCGCGAGATGCTTATCGCCAAATAAAAATGTATCAATTTACAGTTAAAAAATATATATATTTGTGCTTTTTATGCATATGCAATAAGAGTTTCCTTAAAAGAACACATGATTTGATTAGGGAACTGAATCCCTCCCTTTTTATCTCTGCTCTCTCTCCAGTCTCGCCTGAACTTCTGGGTGTCCTGTCTTCCATTGCTGCCCTCATGGCGCTGATTGCTCTGTTCTTTCTTTACCTCAGCAACAAACTGTCTGTGCAGAGTCCCGACAATCTGCCACAGCTCGCGGGCTTCACGGGCAAGCAGCAAGGTATTTGACACACTTACAGATTTGCCTCTGCATCTTACAACATAAGAAGTGTAATAATGTTGCTGCAACAGTTAGCGGCAAGAACGCCGCACTCTGGAACAGTAAAGATAAGACTGGTGCCACCTTTGTAGTATTTTTTTTTTTAACTAAGTTAAGAGCGATTTCAGACGCATTATACAGAGCTTTCTCTGGATAAACTTAAATATCTGATAGAAATACAGGAGCATTCAATGATTAGTGACTTTACAGAGCTCTACTGTAAACATGATGTCAGCATTGTGTTTAAATGGGTGAAAATACTGCAACGTAACACTACTCAGACTGTTGGTTTGTGATTAACAACACATTAAAGCGACCTCAAATAAAATAAGGAGAAACTCACCGTGCAGAGTTTTGGTAATCCACTCGGATTAGAAAATCTGAACATTTTTATTAAGAAAGATTCTGATTAACAGTCCTTTCTCCCCTCTCAAAAAACATAAAAAAGTAAAAAAAAGCAGTTGTAATATCAGAATATTCTTGGATACAAAGTAAGTTTCTTTCAGCTGCTCTGTTCTTCGGGGGTTACCACAGCGACCGATCGCGCATGAAACATTTGGCAATTCTTTTACGCTGGATGCCCTTTCTGACACAACATGGGCTTGAACTCACAACCTCAGGATTATAAGACCGTGGCACTGATCACCAAGCTACCGCAGCTGCATCAGAATAGTTAAAAAAAAAATTTTAAATTAAAAATCAGCCCTCAGCTGAGTGGACTGTTTTTTTTAACTCTGTGATGTTCACTGTGCTGTTGGTGCGAGGTGATGTCATTTCAGTAGGAGGTCCTGCATCAAAGATCTGGACAGATTGTGTTTAGACTAGGCCTGTCACGATAACAAATTTTGCTTGGCGATTGTCTCACAAATTATTGCGATAAACGATAATATTGTTTGAAATAAATTTAAGAAAAAATGTTAAATTTGTTTTGAATGTAGTACCTTTTTTTGACCACTGGATGGCAGTATAAGACTGTTTGAAGGATGGACAGTGAGGGAGCAAGCAGCGTGTCTCTTTAAGAAAAATGGGAGGGAAGCCCCTTGACATGACATGAGCTGTCTCTCTTCGGTTCTCAAAATGGCGGACGCTCGGTGTGGTTTGAGCTCTTTAGCATAGCATATGTCACACAAAGCTTTTAATAAAAAAAAAATCAGTGAACAAGTTCTCAGCTTCTTTTTGCAGAGAAAACCAACGGTTTAAACGAAGGCACGGGTTTCAACCGTGAATTTTGGAGCTTCGACAAGACGGAGGTTTATTCCCGAGGTCGGCCTGTTAGCTTAGCTCGTAGCTTAGCTTCTCAGCTTAGCTGCTTTTAACGATCCAAAAATGTGATTTTAGACGGTTAAATTGGATTTTAAAGAGAAAGGGAGGGGTCAGTGAAGAGCACCGGAGTTGAGCTTTTTATCATCCAGTGTCTTCAGTAGAAAGAGAGACACGAAGAAACGATAAAGCCGATAAATGACAATGAGGTCGATAATTTTCATTTATCATGCGATTAATTGTTTTATTGTTTATCGTGACAGGCCTAGTTCAGACTACCAAATGTATATGGATAAAAGTGAGTCAGACCACCTCCGAAGGTGGATTTGAGTAAAAATGTTTTCTTTGCACATTGAACAAATTTAGATTTGATTTAGCTTTGAATGAAATCTGATGGCTAAGAACTGTTTTTAACAATAGGCCTATACAACCTCACTGACTGATACGTTTGGCAGTAAAGTTACCAAAGGTGCTAAGGGAGAATACATTTCTAGATATGAGAGACGAATCACGAGATTCTTAACAAATTGTGTAAACAAAACAAAAGCCTAAAAACCACTAAAAGAAAATGAAACCGAACCCTAAGCCTATAGCAAACATATGAATGTCCCTTGCTTTAGGCTCCTCTTGGACCTTCTGTTCAGTTATGTTGTTTTCAGCTTGGAAGAGGAAACAACGTTAACAGTACGAAAAGCATGTCTGATAACAGGAAGTGAGAAATGTTCACGAAGAACTGGAGCTAATTTCAGTCAGAAACTGAAAAGAAAATGTGTTTTTTTGTTATTGTAATATGGCTGATTTTTAAACCTCTTGTTAAGACAGATATTTTGTCAAGTATATACTGGTGTGTGTGCTGTACATGCTGGGATGCTGGCACCACACCCTGCTAACCACCACGTGTCTGTGTCAGCGCTTCTGATGAGGTAATCTCTTGGTGTGATCGGATCTCTGACTGAGACATGGCCTTCTTCAAGAGCTTCCAGCAGACCCTGCCATCTGTCAACATTTCCTCTATCCTGGATTCGGTCAGCAGTCGTGTGGACGACCTCGCCAACACCGTTAGTGATGTCACCTATTCCGTCAGCGATCAGCTCACTGAGCAGGTCACCACCATCATCAGCAAGGTCCAAGATGCAGAAGACAAGGAGAACGGCAGCAGCCAGGAGCCGGGTCAGGCCTCCAACACGCAAGAAGGCAGGACCGGCAGTAAAAGTATGTGGCAAACGCAGAGAGACTCGAATAACGGCCAGGCAGGAGCGAAAACCAACAAGGGGAGTGAGGCGGCAGAGGGAGGGAACACTCAGCTGGAGTGGGAATGGAGGGATGGATGCTGGCGAGTAAAAAAGTCAGAAGCCGAGTTAGCAGAGGAAGAGAGGAAGAAGAAGGAGGAGAAGGAGGAGAAGGAGAGGAGAGAACAGAGGAGAAAAGAGAGGAGAGAGAGGCAGCTGGAGAAAGAAGCCGAGACGAAGAGACGTGAAGAAGAATCCAACGTGGAGGCCGCTGAAGCCTCAGAGAGAACCGAGAACAGCGATGGACGAGACAGAGAGGCAGCTCAGAGTGACGATCAGTCCGCCGCTCAGGGAAGAAGCGACGACGGCCATGAAACTCCCCGTTCACCCCGTTGTGAAAACGAGACAGGAGAATCAAAACGAAAAGAGGAAGAAGACGGAGAACAGGAGGAGGAGGTGGAAGACGGCTCTGAGAGGGAGGCGGACAACGAGGAAGAGGGTGAGCCGCCCAAATCTGCCTCCACGGCGAAAAAGAAGAAGACGGATAAGAAGAAAGAGAAGGGGAGTTCAAAGAAATCTGAAGCAGCTTCAGATGGGGAGAAAAAGAACGTCAAAGAAAAGAAAAGCAAGAAGAAAAAGAAAGGAAACCAAGGTTAGAGTGTGTGTTTCCTCCCTTTAGGTCTTCACCTCCTTCCCCGTTTTCAGCTTCTTAACCTGTTCAGAGTGGTGTGCCAGCTTCAGCAGCTGTCTCTGGGAACATTGTCTACATGTCAGTTTGTGCTGTTCATCCTGAACACGAGTGTTGATCCGTCCTGCGCAGATGGAGCCGTTTCAGACAGTGAAGAAGAAAACAGCCCAGAGGCTGTGACCCAGCAGAACACAACGTCTGCGTGGAGCCGAAGCAGACAGTCCAGTGAGCAGGGAGGATACAGCAGCGAGGCCTCCAGCGAACAAGGTGAGAGCATCCCACGTGTCATCTGGGCTCACGTTACAAACAAGTCCAAACCAGGCATCTTTTGAAACGTTACATATTTGTCTTAGTGCTTATGAAGAATTCTCACTACTGTGATCCATTTTTCTTCTCTACATTTTTCTGCATCTTTCTCGTTCCACAATTTTTGTGCCATTTCAATAAATCATAAGAAAATGTTCAGCTTGTTCACGAGAAGGGAGCTATGACTTTTGGTAGTGGCGCAACTTTAGCTTTTTTAAATACCGGTATTTAGCTGTAATTTTTTTCTTCATAGAAAATTAATTGAGCTCATTTTACATACTTCAAATCTTTAGATCTGTTTACAGCCTTTTACTGCTCCTTTCACATTTTGTTCTGGTTCAGCTTCTTTCAGCTTCCTTGTGCAAATTTAAACTTTTTCTCAGCTACTTTCAGCTGTTTTTTGTTGTCGTTGTTTTGTGCCCCTTTCAGATTCTTTCTGCTAATTTCATCTTGTTTTGTTCATTTCAGCTTGTTTATGCAAGTTTCAGCTTTTTTGCTATTTCAGCTACTATTTCACTGTTTTTAGCTTTTTCAGCTAATTCCACATTTCTGCACTCCTTTCAACTTTTTTCAGCCTAATTCAGCAAAAATGTGCTCTCTCCACTTCCTTCTGCTTTTTAGCTACTTTTCAGCAGTTTTTTTTTTTTTTTTTTTGGTTGTTGCTAATTTTAGCTTTTATTTGCACTTTTTGTGTTAATTTCTGCTTCTTTAAGCCAGATTGGTCAAACATGTATTTTCTGCCTTTTTCTGCTAATTGAAGCTTGTTCTACCTTTTCAGCAACCGTTTTACCTTTTTTCACAAAATTCAGCTGTTTTCAGATAAATTCATGTTTTTTTTTGTGCTAATTTCTGCTACTTTCAGCCCAATTAAATTATTTCTGCTAATTTCAGCTTGTTAGCATATTTTTGCTAGTTTCATCTTTTTCAGCTAAAATTTAGCTATTTTATGCTATTTTAGCTTTTTTGGCTAATTCAAAATTTTTTATTTAAACTTTTTTCATCCTAATTCAGCAAAAAATGTGCTCTCTCCACTTCCTTCTGGTAGTTTAAGCTTCTTTCTGCATTTTCAGCTATTTATTTGCTCATTTTAGCTTCTTTTTTTATAGCTAATTTCCTTTTTTTGGCTAATTTCTGCTTATTTAAACCTAATTCAGCAATTATGTGTTCTTTCTGCTTTCTTCTGCTAATGTAGGCTTGTTCTTCCATTTCAGCTACATTTCAGAATGTTTTTTTTAGCTAATTTCAGCAGTTTTTCAGCAAGTTCTTCTGCAATAAGAATTCACACTGCATTTTTACAGGAAATGTAATTTCTCAGGTTAGCATTATTTTACATCTACGTTTGATCAGATGGGCAGATGGGTTTTCGTATGGAACAGGTACAGATGGTGCAAAGTTATTGACATTAGAGGCTCCTCGTGTGATTAGGTTTTAGGAGGTAATTCCATCCCAAATAAAACGTGAACATAGTTTGGACTAGTACTGTCAGGAGAACGGTACCAGATTATGTTCTCCAGAGGCTTTCGGTGGTTTAGAACAGCAAGAGTAAGCATTAAGGACTGGCAGCCACACAGCCAATGAGAGCACACCCTAACGTGTCTCTGCGTCACACAGTCTCCAGTAACTGTCCCTCCATCTTACTTCCTGTCTTGTTTCCCTCTTTGGCTCCACTGCAGCCACCAGCATTCAGAGAATAAAGAAAGAGTCTTCCCAAAGTGAAAGTCAGCCTCCTCCATACAAGAGTTCAGGAAAAAACAAGTCCTGCAGCTCAGGGCGAGGAGTCAGGAGGGCGTCGTCCCCGAAGCGCTGCGGCAGCTCCCGCTGCTCGAGTAACGCCAGCGTGGACCAGGAGACGGAGAGCTACCTCAACAAAGAGGAGGACATCCCCAGTGACAGCACGGCTGTTCTCGGACCAGAGGTCCGTCCAAACTCACCCGTATTTTACGATTCTTTCTATAGGTTGATTTTGTTATTGTGCATTTTAAAATATAATAGAACACCCATCTTAAAATATATATATATATATATATGGAGACTATTTTAACTAGAAATATTTGTATTGTCTGGCAAGCCTGCAGTATAAACGCAGAGTCCTGAATCACTGATGAAAAGTGTTGACGAAGCTAAAATTGAAAGCAATTAGAACAAAAGCTAAAGTTAGTGAAACCAATGGTAAATGCTAATTTAAGCAAAACAAAAGCTAAAAGCTGAAGACAGCTGAACAGGAGCGAAAAGCTGAAAATTAAGATAAAAGCAAAAAAACTATAAACAAAACATTAGCTAAAAGCTCAAATCAGCAAAATGCAAACCCTAAAAGAAAATAGTACTAAAAGTTAAATTTAACAAAACAGTTGTTAAAAATGGTCAGTAACAGTAACAATAAACTAAACTTAGCAAAAACAGTAGTTACAAGCTAAACTTAGCAAAACAATAGTTACAAGCTAACTTAGCAAAACAGTAGTTACAAGCTAAACTTAGCAAAACAATAGTTACAAGCTAAACTTAGCAAAACAATAGTTACAAGCTAAACTTAGCAAAACAGTAGTTACAAGCTAAACTTCTGTAGATACAAGCTAAACTTGGCAAAACAGTAGTTACAAGCTAAACTTGGCAAAACAGTAGCTACAAGCTAAAATAGCAAAACAGTAGTTACAAGCTAAACTTAGCAAAACAGTAGCTGAAAATAAAACCATGCCAAGCCTGTCCTGTTCAGTAGCTAATAGGTAAAATGATCAAAACATTAGAAAAAAGCTAAAACCACTTAAATACCTAAAAGCTAAAATTAAGAGGGCAGTTGCTAAAAGCTAAAACCAGTAGAACTGTATTTTCCATCCATCCATCCATCATCATCCGCTTGTTCCGAAGTTGGGTCATGAAACCATTGAACTGTAGCTAAAAGCTGAAATTAGGAGAGCAGTTGCTGAAAACTAAAACCAGTAGAACTGTAGCTAAAAGCTATTTAGCCAAAAAAAAAAAAAAAGTGTAGCTAAAAATGATCTGAACAGTAGCTTTAAACTATAACAAGCATTGTGGTAGCTATAAGCTAAATTTAGCAAAACAGTAGCTAAAAGCTAAAATCAGCAGAACAGTAGCTTAAAACAAAAATGAGTAAAAACAGTAGCTAAAAGCTAAAAATGAAGTAAGTATGCTGCAATAGATTTCAAAAAGCACAAAGTTTTTCAGAGGTTTAAAGAGTTTGCCATTCAGTTCAATGTGGAAAAATATTAAACAAAGTTTGTTTACAAAAAATATAAACTTTTCAAAACTGAAAAACAATTGTATATCCGATTGATTCAAATAAATAGGTTCTGGGTTCAATCCCTGGATTGCACAAAATGTTAGTCTGCCTTCAGTCCCAGTCCTCCCTTGTAAAATATCTGTGATCTTGTTAGGATTTGACTGGCTAAATAAAGTTTAATAATAATGATAAAAATAAAAGTATGCTGATGTAGTTTTAGTCCCAGAACTTTGGGAAGAAACTGATCAGGAAACCAACAATGTTTAGACGTAACCTAGTTATTTAAACTTGGGGTGAAAGAGGTGGGTGACAGCACTTTTACTAAACGTTCCTTTTCATCACTTTAGATATTCCACATACCAGTACATATATGTCCAATTTTTATATAAAAAAATAATTAAAACAAGTTAGAGACACTTATCTTCCTGTAGAGACACTTTGCATAAACGTTGGAGTTAAATAAATCTGTTCTTCTCATTCCCAATCTTCTTTAGGATGGTCTTCACCTCCCCGCAGCCTATGAGCCCGAGCCCCTCGCTCAGTACGGCACGCTGGACGTTGCCTTCGAGTACGACTCCAGTGAGCAGTGGCTGGCGGTCACCGTCACCGCAGCAACCGACATCCCCGCCCTCAAACAGACCGGCAACATCTGGTGGCAGGTCCACCTGGTGCTGCTGCCCACCAAGAAACAACGGGCGAAGACGGGCGTACAGAAAGGCCCGTGTCCCGTTTTCACCGAAACGTTCAAGTTTTCCCGAGTGGAGCAGGAGGCCCTGGCGGACCACGCCGTTCGCTTCCGCCTGTACAGCATCAGACGGATGAAAAAGGAGAAGGTCCTGGGAGAAAAGGTGTTCTACCTGACTAAGCTAAACCTGCAGGGGAAGATGGCGCTACCCGTCACTCTGGAGCCGGGCTCTGAACTTACAGTGGGAACACGTTTTTATCCTCTACTGTGCAGATCGCACTTTTCACTGGTTCTTGTCCTTAATCCTGCCTGTGTTTTATTTCTGCCAGGGCTGCGGCTCTTTGGTGAGCGTTTCTCGCAGTGCAGGAGCTCTGTCCTACCGCTCCACTGAAGATACATCGCTGCCAGAAATCCTCCTGGGTCTCATCTACAACTCTGCCACGGGACAGCTATCAGCTGAGGTCATCCAGGGAAGTCACTTCAAAACCACAGCGTCTGATAAACCTGTCAGTAAGTACAAAAGCACACACACCGAAACCTGTACTGTATATACACCAGTTTCCTCCTGTAGAATTCCTTTTTCTTGAGTTGTACTGATTAGAGTTGTCAAAGTTACCACTGGGAACTTAAATCCAGGGAAATACTCCACACTAACTGGTCACACTGGAAACACTGGTGCCTCAAACTGAAAAGTTCAGGAGCATTTAACAAGTAAATTTAAAATTTGGGAGAAAATATTTATTTTTGTATACCAGTACATACATTTAAATGTAGCAAAACGTTAGCTAAAAGTAGCAACATGTTAAGTAGAAGCTGAATATAACAAAGGGCTAGCTAAAAGCTAAAATAAACAAAGGCTTACGAGAAACTAAAAAGAGCAAAAGGCTATCCAGAAGGCGAAAAAGGCTAGATACAAGCTAAAAGTAGTAAAAGGCGGTTTAAAAGTTAATAGTAACTAAAGGCTAGCTAAAATCTAAAAGCAAAATAACTTTTTTTTGTAACTAAATAATAACTAAAGCTAAAAGTAGTAAAAGCCTAGCTTAATTAGTATAAGACTAGCTAAGAGGATATAGTTGTAGCAAAAAATGGCTAAAGGCTAGCTAAATGTAACAAAAGGCTTGCTAAAAGCTAAAAGTAGCAAAGCAATAACTGCAAGCTACAATTAGTAAAATGCTAACAAGAAGTCAAAAGTAGAAAAGCTTTGCTAAAAGGTAGCAGATTTGTGGCTAAAGTAACAAAAAGCTAGCTGATAGCTAAAAGAAACAAAGGCTTATGAGAAACTATAAAAAGCAAAAAGCTAACTAGAAGTTGAAAAAGACTAGATACAAGCTAAAAGTAGTAAAAGGCTGTTCAGAAGTTATAAGAAACAAAAGACTAGCTAAAAACTAACAGCAAAATGATAGCTGAAGCTGAAAGTAGTAAAAGCCTAGTTTAATTAGCATAAGGCTAGCTAAGAGGTTGTGGAGTTGTAGCTAAAAGTTGCTAAAGGCTAGCTAAATGTATCAAAAAGCTTGCTAAAAACTAAAAGTAGCAAATGAGAAGCGAAACGTCTTCAGCTGCAGAACAGAAGTCCAGTTGTTTTTGCTTTTAATCTTGTTAGGAATTAAAAGTAGCAAAGCAATAACTGCAAGCTAAAAGTAGTAAAATGCTAGCTATAATTAGCAAAACGCCAACAAGAAGCTAAAAGTAGCAAAAGGTTTGCTAAAAGGCATCATATTTGTAGCTAATTCAATTCAGTTTATTTATATAGCGCCAAGTCACAACAGAAGTCATCTCAGGGCACTGAACAGAAACATTCATATATAAAAATAATTAACATTATTTATCTGACTGCTTTAAATTTAACTCCATCGCAGAACTCTCATCTTGTGCAAGCATGAAGGCGACAGTGGAAAGGAAAAACTCCCTCATGAGGAAGAAGGAAACCTTTAGCAGAGCCAGACTCAGGACAAGCAGCCATCTGCTTCGACCGGCTGGGTTTGAGAGGAACAGATACGTGCTAAAGTAACGAAAAGCTAGCTGAAAGTTAAAAGTAGCGTAGGAAGACAAAAATCGAGCGAGTATGATGAAGCATTTCAAGTAAAACCGTGTTTTTGAATGAACTGAAGAAATCTTAGGCGGCATGGTAGCTCAGTTGGCAGAGCTGTTGCTTCTCAGCGAGAAGGTCGCCGGTTCAAATCCCAGCCCGGGACCTTTCTAGGCGGAGTTTGCATGTTCTCTCAGTGCATGCGTGAGTTTTCTCCGGGTACTCCGGTTTCCTCCCACAGACCAAAACCATGCATGTTAGGCTGATTGGTGACTCTAAATTGTCCCTATGTGTGAGAGAGTGAATGAATTATTGTTTGTCTCCATGTCCCTGTGATGGACTGGAGACCTGTCCAGTGTGTCCCCTGTCTCTCGTGACCTGAAAAGCAAGAAGCGGGTAAAGATAATGAATGGATGGAAGAGATCTTAATGCACCTCTATGGAGACAATATTTGTAAATTAATATTTTGAAAAGTCTAGAAGTCAAAACCAAAAGCCCTACCGCTCGTCTCCTGAACGAGCAGAACGTTTCGCTGAATGGTTAAAATATCACCAAGTGTGAAGTAATTAAGTGCAAAAATGTACAGAAAGATAAAAATCAGGAAAACAGGGTGAATACAAAGTTAGCATAAATGTTATAATCACTAACACATTTTTTTTATTATTATTTATTAGTTGTAACGTGCAGCAGCACACTTTAACAACTGTGTTGTCACTGAGCAGCCTGCTGAAGCTTCTTCTGCACGTCCTGAATCCCACGGACCTTCACTTCCTGCTCTTTAAACTGCCTCTCTGTCTTCTTTCCTACGGTGTGTGTGGCGCGGTGTGTGTTCATCAGATGATCTGTTTTGTTGTGTAAAACACTTCGTAGGGGGACAGCTGTACGTCATGAGAGGTAAGACAACAGTGAAACATAAACTTTTTTTTAGAACAACAGATGTGGATTAGAGCCGTTATTCCCGACCGTTTGTATTTCTACAGGTGCTGGTCATAAAATTAGAAAATCATGAAAAACTTGATTTTTTTCAGTAACTCCATCAAAAAGTGAAACTTGTATATTATAGTCATTCATTACGCACAGACTGATATATTTCAAATGTTTATTTCTTTAAATGTTGATGATTATAACTTACAACTAATGAAAACCCCAAATTCAGTATCGCAGAAAATTAGAATGAATATTCAAGTTTCACTTTTTGAATGGAATTACTGAAATAAATCAAACTTTTCATGATATTCTAATTTTATGACCAGCACCTGTAGATGCATCACTTTATTTGATTGAAAATCTTTTGTATTTAAATGCAGCTAAATGTTAGGTGCAGTACTCGGGTGTAACCACTTGGTGGCACTGCCTCACTTCTCTCCTGCACCTCCTTTCCAGACACCTACGTGAAGCTCACCATGCTGGACTCCAAGGGCAAAGAGATGTCCAAGCGTAAGACGGCCGTGTGCCGCGGCCAGCCCAACCCCACCTACAAGGAGACGTTCGTCTTCCAGGTGGCGCTCTTCCAGCTGTCAGAGGTGTCGCTGGTGGTGACGGTGTTCTGCCGGCGGAGCAGCATGAAGCCCAGGGAGAAGCTGGGCTGGGTCTCCCTGGGCAACAACAGCACCAGCGAGGAGCAGCAGACCCACTGGACAGAGATGAGGGAGGCGGAGGGTCAGCAGGTCTGCCACTGGCACACGCTCACAGACACATAGGAGACGGATTTAGAAGACCGGACCTACAATAAGAGCGCTCCCATGATGCTCGGAGCCACGGACACACGCAGCAGACGTGTTCGCGAGGATGGGATGAGTTCGCAGTCTTTACTGCCAGACTGCGTGGACACCCTATAATCTGCTTTTCTCTGAGGCAGGCAGTGACTTCAGGGGGTGTGGGGGGGATGCGTTAAAACTCCAAACACTGCAAAGACCCAGATGGAAGCCGTTAAGTTTCCTACCGGTTTTTATTCGCAGCAAAATCTGCATGATCATTATTAACGGTTTACAAGAACAAGGTGATTCTGCGATTGAATCATGGACCACGGTCTTCTTCCAGGCTTTTAACCAACACCAGCATACCAGACATTTATTTATGAGTCAGAACCACTGAGGAAAAAAAAAAAAAAAAAAAAGAGAGGACTGTTACAAAACATGCTGCAATTATCCCTACAAGCTCTGCTCTGCACAGTGTGTTTACAACCGCGCCACTTTATGCAAACTGCTCGATCGACCCCTTTATGTTCCTGGAGCGTTTGTCATCTAAAGGACATTACACACAAATCTTTTTATTTACGTCAAAACTCTATGCATCTAAGAGGGGTGCCCCTCTTTCTCCTGAGCTTGCCGAGTTCATTACACAACTGGACGCAGCTCTGCATGCCGGCCGCGGGTATCGAGCTTCCTTCCCGTGCAGCTCACCGCGCAGCCTTCTGACTCCTCAGCCATGTTCGTTCATGTAGAAACACGGCGCCCCGCGCCGAGGACCAATATGCAATAAACCGGGCTGTCTGAGTCAGAGCCGACCCGACCACCTCAGCTGTGAAGTGAGTTGGGGAAACAAAAATAAATTATTTTTTTAATTTAATGTACCATTAAATAAAGGCTGAAAGTAGAACTGGGACTAATGGTGTGATATTCTACTTATAGGGTTTTATTCTGGGGCAATGATGAGTTTTAGCTCTGATCTGTGAGCACAAGTGTCAGAAAATTCCCCCTGGAGGACAAAAACTCCACAGTCCCACCCTCTCTCAGCTGGTTCGGTTCGAGAGGCGTGAGGAAACGGGTTTTTCTTCGTGACGTCTCGTTCCAAACTTCGTCTAGCCGAGTGCCACGGCAGACGCACGCTTCCCTGCAGGAACCAATTCCTGCAAAGTGAAATTTTTCTTTTTTGGAAGAATAATTTTTGCGAGATTAAACGAAAACAGATGTCCAGCATTCCTGCCACATGTGCTTTTCATTTCCTTTAACAGAGAACCGTTTCTAAAAAGCTTTTCATCACAAATTTACCTTTTATTGAAGTGGTGCACACAAAGCTGCACTTTGATTTACTGAAAAGGGGAAAAAAATAAGCGACACGTTACGCGTTTTCATTTGTAGCGTTATCTACAGGATGGATTTTATTGAAACTTTTTGAGGTTTCTACAGCTGATTACCTTTTAGAGCCGGAGAACTGCCACCCAAAACAGGAAACACAAAACCAGTTTCACAGATATGGAAATAAAATTTGTGAGTTTGGCGTCACCTCCAACACACACGTCAACATCTTGCAATATTGCATGAGAATGTACATAATGTTAAAGTTTGACAAAAGCAGCTAGAATTCAATAACTTGTGGCCCTGACTACCTCCTGGCCTTCTTAAGGGACAAGCAGGGTGCCAGGAAAAACTAGTTCCACCCAGGACATAGTCTGAGTCAGAACTTTGGTTTGTAGAAAATCTGCAAATAGTTCTATTTTACAGCGAGCGATTGAAAACATTTAAGTCTTAAAGCTGATCTAACTTAAGGTTGTAGATTTGTGCTCAACAAGAGCAAATAAACTTTTTTTTAATAAGACCCATTTTTCTCTCACATGAGCATTTAAAATTTTGGGGCTAAAGTTCTAGTAACTTTAGGAGAACTGAGTTCTCCTGATTCGTGCTCATTAATCCAGGTAGAAAAGTCCAACAAAGTTCAGTCAGGTCCTCTGGACAGTTTATTTTTGTTTAAACTTTTTGTCTTTCATCCAAAACACTTCATCAGTACAGGTCATCCACTAACCGTCTGAAACCATCTTAGCACCATCAAACTGTTTGACCCACTATGTGAAGGTGCCAGGGCTTAATTTGTAAACCAATCAATGCTGGAATGCAAATAGGCGGCAGCGGGGGGCCTCCCCCAGTAAATTTTGAATAAAGTAGATGCAATTTCCTGCATTTTTGGTGTATTTTAACAGGTTATTAAACACCTACATTTATAAACATTCCGCTTCTGTCAAGATCCTACACCCCCTCACCAGTTCTGAGCCCCGACACCGTCCTGCTCGTTGTCCCACTCCACATGTGAAACCTCCAGGTGCCTCCTCCGTCTGTTCATTGCTGCTCCAGCCTGGTTAGCTCGGCACTCACCCCCACCACTCTTAGGGGCGGAGATTTTTTTTAAGGGTAGAAGCAGAAATGCTTCTTGAAGGTGCAGCTCGTATGCGATGAAGAAGCTCGTAAGTAGCTGTTGTGTTTAAAATGAGTGTTTATGTAATTATTTCCGGTTTACATATCCAATATGTTTTTTGTTCAAGGCAGTTATATTTGTTCATAACTTCATTATTAGGAAGTCCGACAGTTACCGGATCCAAGCAAACAGTTACCGGAACGCACCCTGTCAAAAGAGTTCCTGGATCCTGTTCCAGCAGGATCCAGCTCAAATTACCATATTTTTCTGATCATAAGACGCAATATCAATGAACGGGTCTGTTTTCATACATAAGGCGCACAGATTATAAAGGTGCATTGAGCGAAACAAAACGGTCAAATAAGTCAAACTTTATTCAACTCATTCAGTAACCACATAAAATCGATTCAAAGTCTGTAAGAACAACCAGAATAAATACATAAAGCGCACTGGATTATAAGGCTCACTGTCGATTTTTGAGAAAATTAAAGGATTTTAAGTGCCTTATAGTCTGAAAAGTACGGTACGCCCTGGAAGGTGCTATTTATAAGACGGGGTTTGTTGTTGCTCCTCAGACTGATGAAGTCTTTTTGATGAAAGACGAAACGTTTCAGCAAAAAGAAACCGTCCAGAGGACCGGACTTAACTTTGTTGGAACCGGAGTCATGTTTCTTTAAAACAATGTTTAGTGTTTTTATTTCTACTTCAGCCTTCAGTAGTTTGTTCGATGCCGTTTCAGCACAAACAGCTGGGTGATACCTCACCCACTGATGTACATCAGACCAGGTTTGATTATGTACAACTTTCAGGGAGACTTGTTCCACTCCAAGTCACAGAAAACCAGTCGTGCTGCTGATCGTTGAGGGGTGTGAGGTCGACGGGGAAATCGAGGCCACTGAAGCTCCAGTAAAAACATTCAGGTCTGATGGGGGGGTAGGAGCCTGGCTGGATCATTTCACGTGTGGTTTAGAAAAAATTACAAGCAGGCGTTTGGATTTGGTCGTTTTACAGCACTAATTAAAAATCTGGCTCCTTCAAGGTAAACGGGCCTGGTTTGATATTTACGTTTTACTGGAGGGCTCAGGAACCACCTGTCTGCAGCTCGTCCCCCCTCAAGTCAGAGACACCAAATAGTTTTCACTGGCAATGAATTTAATGCGACGCCTCCATCAAGTTCAGGTTAGTGTGGTTAGGAATAATCGAGTACAACATTCGGTCATTTTATTGCATGTCTCAGTCTTAAAAACATCTTTTTCAATAATAAATATACAGGAACTGCGTGAGTTTGTTTCATAAAAGCACGGGAAACAAGTTAAAAAAAAATTAAGTATCTTTAAGTTTAAATTTCAGAAAAATAAAATCACAGCTGATGCTGTCAAATGACATACGTTGGATTTATAATACATGATGGGTTCAGCTCCAGTGGTTTGACAGATGTACCGTGCAGGGCGGACCTGATGTACCAGACTGCAGTCTTTTTGCAAATGGTGCCGTAAAGCTGCAAATATTGTACCTATTTGTCAAAAACAAAACAAGCAAGGGTAAAAGCCAAATAACCAATTCAGTCAAAGGTGAGGAAGTTCAACTCAAATCCAACAAAAGTTGTGTCATCTTGCAAAGTCGGGGGGTGGGGGGTTGTAAATCTTATCCACATCTTACTCACAATGGAGCACAGTAAACATCCAATGTTGAAACTAAGAAATGGTACAATTTCTTTGGAAAAATAAGGTCCATTTGACTCCAACACTTCCATCAAATCTTTCTATAAACAGTTCATCATCCAAAAATAATCTTTAAATTTTAATCTCTCCATCATGCAAAGAAAAAAAAAAAAACTATGAGCCAAAGCTCAATTAAAATAGATTGGGGACAAAAATAAAAACTATTCTTAGTCAGACAAAAAATGTAAACATTGTTTGGGGAACTGTACTTTCTTTAGTACAGAGGACCAAGGGTTCCCAAACAAGGTTTACATAGAAAAAAAAAAAAGATCCGGCCTGTTGTCAGTGCACAGTTCAAAGACCTGCCTCTCTAATAGTATGGGGATGCATTGGTGCCTATGGGATGGACAGCTTTCACATCTGTAACCGTCAAAAGAGACAGGACTGCTGAACAGCTTGAATCTGACATCAGACAAGAATAGGTCAACGTTGTCCTCTGAAAACAGCTCATCTGTTTTTTTTAATCAAAGTTCATGCTCAATAAACCAGGTAAACAAATCCAGCAAAGTTAAGTCTTCTGGATGGTTGCTTTATTTTGAAACGTTTCATCTTTCATCCAAAGGACTTCATCAGTTCAAAGAGCCACAACAAACTCAGTCCCACAAGCAGCTCACTCACATAGTGGCCCAAAAATCACAAGTGGATTTTTTTTTACCTGGATTACTGAGCATGAACTTTGATGTTTTGAACCACTTTAGACATGGCTGCCTCAGACGAGTCAGAGGGGGAGAGGGCCGACTCCAAAAACCCTCTTATCACCATCAAACTGGTTGGCCCTCTATGAGAGTGTGCTACTTAAGGGACTGAGTTTGTTGTGGCTCCTCGGACTGATGAAGTCTTTTGGATGAAAGATGTAACGTTTCAACTAGAGATGCACGATATTGCATTTTTGGCTGATATCCAATATGCCAATGTGTTAAAACTTATTTGGCCGATAACCGATACCAGTTCCGATATTTTTCTCCTAGACCTACTTAGACTACATAGCTTTCTCTGCTGTGGAATTACTACATTATTCTGCATGGTCAATTTGGCCTGCTACCAAATGCAGATGCCAAAAAGGGGACTGAAAATGATGCAACATTTCAACTTGGATTATGTTTAATCAATTTTTTTTAACTTTATCGCTAATATTGGCTGATACCGATACAATGCCGATAATATCGTGCATCCCTAGTTTCAACATAAACTGTCCAGAGGACCTGACTTAACTTTGTTGATCTGTTTGTAGTTGTTTACAAACTGTTAAAACAAGACGGGATGCTGACCCTGTCCCAACTGTTTGACGTGTTGCTGCCAACAAATTTAAAACCTTTCCGCCCCTTAAAATAGCACAGTGTCTGCATTTAAACAGCTGATGTTCACTGTGTTCCAAAAATGAGTTTATGAGATTCGCAAATTGCTGCACTCTGCTTTTATTGACATTTTACTCAACTTTGTCAGAACTGGGAATTGTACGTGGACAACCTGAACAAGGCGGGGACGTGCCTCATCTTGTGCTGCAAAGGAAGAAGTATGAGAAATCTGACAAGTCATGAAAGAAAAAGAAGCAACAAAGTAAACACATGAAGACATAATTTGTTGTAGCTGCAGAGTCTAAAGATTAAAAGAGCCAACATCTTGTTATGTGTTGTATCGGACCCTTTCTTGATGTGGACCATTAACTTCCAGGAACATTGGCAGGTTGCCTAGCAACTGCTTAAGAGCTTAGAAATGTTTCTGACCCGATGCATCACCCCCTCTTGAAAATGAGACGCATTAATTAGGGATTTAAATGTGCCACTAGGTGGTAGTTTTTCAGCTCCTGACAGAGCCAGACTGATCTCTCACCAACGAGTTGCTGTGCTTTTAGATTTATTAACCCGGTTTCAAAAGAACAGGACTGATCTCTACCAGAAAACGAGTGTGTATTCATCAAATGTGTCTTGTCTTTAGGTTTTCAACACATTTCACTGAAAACATTCTGCAAAATTAGGCACAAGAGCCTTTTTTTTTTTTTTGTCGATTTTGGCAACTGGTGCTTGACGATGGGCAGATTATGTAAAACTGAACAAAACGACAAATTAATGGCTGGTTTTATTGACAGGTTGGAGGCATTTTGGTGATGACTGAAGTGAATTCCCTCTTGAGTGCTTCATGCTGTTTAGACATGATTGGGCTGAGCGGTTTAACTCAGAGTTCCCCTGAGGCAGGGGTTTAAAAATATTCCACTCCACATAGATTTACACATTTAAACATTATTAAAAAAAAGAAAGTTCAATAAAATATGACTGACCGTCAGTGCTTTTCTCACAGTCGTGTAAGAAGTTTAGTTTGTAACTAACTGCTGTCGGTTGAAACTGCTACTCTGTCACTCCATGATCAGGATCAGAGTTGAACTCCAGTGAGTTTCTGTACACCGATTAAACCGCCTCCTTTCTTTAGCAGACGAGGTGCGGGTGACTTCTGTAGCTAGTGGTTGGTGATTGAACATGATCGAAAGGCGTGTGAAAAGAGGAGCGACGTCCACCGAAGAGGAGGATCCATTTCTTGGCAGCGGTTCCCACTCGAAACTTTCAGCACTTGTCAGAGCGACCAAAAGCTGTTAAGGTTAGCTGGTCCATCAGCCCCTGCAAAGTCCGAGCCCCCAAAAAAGTTGCCTCTTGTGCGTTTATCTTGCTGCCTGCCCATCCATCTTCATCTCCCCTTGCAGAGAGAGCTCCAGTCCTTCAGTCCTTCCAGCTATCGACTCTCCGATTCCAACACTAGATGAATTTGAAGCACTTCGTCTTATCGTGGGGCAAACGGGTCTTAAACAGCACGGAGTCCACGCGAAACTGCGTGTACAGCAGCGGCATGTAGCCGTACACCTTGACGAAGAAGTTGATGCACTTGTGGCGCTCGTGGAAATGCGAGTCGTCGTGCGAAAGAGCCTGAGGGCAGCCGGGGCAGCGGAAAGTCCAACGGGAGGTTACCTGAAGCAAACAGGACATTTATGAAATTCAGTTTAAGAACAAATGGTAAGAATTTCTATGCACTCCAGTAAGAACTAAAACTCGGGAGAAAGCTCTGCTACAAATTCGATCTTATACATTATAATTTGTGAGTGGAATATTAAAGCTGTCGGTTTGAGTAACGCTGAGGCAAAGTGAGCAAAAACATAAACTCAAAGTCTGACGAATGCAGAGGCTTAATGAATTGGGAAATTGGATGAAATGTTATGTTTGCAAGGTGAAATATAAACTAATAATCTTGTAATCCAGCATACAGATCAATGCAAATGTTCAATAATTCAGAGAATAAATGATTGATCTTTAAAACAAAGGATGATTGAAAAGCAAAAACAAAAAAACATTTTAAGACAGATCGGATGTACAATAACGTTTTGCATCAATATAGATTGAAAACAGAAAAATTATGCTCCATAATGTATAGAAGGGGGAATTAATTTGAATTTAGACATCTCTCTTGTTAGATACTTAGACATTTTTAATCTCCGTTTAGTTAAAAATATATATATTTAAAAGAAACTGAAGTGGTAGTTCGTTCTTCTAAAACATGAAATTTATGGGTTCATCTTTAACGTTGATTTTTTAACGTACAGCAAACATTTTATTAACGGAGGGAGGAACTCCAACATTCCTTCAGATACAAAACCTGAAACTAAGAAGTGAATTTTCCACAATAAGACTAGCTGAAGAGCTGCCAATTGAACGTTTCACTCAAAAATAGTACCGTATTTTCTGCCGTATAAGTCGCATCGGTCCAAAAATGTCTAATAAAGTGGGAAAAAAACAAATAAGTCGCTTCGCTTAGAATTCTCATTTAGTATGTGTCACCGCTGACAAGTCACATTTGTTATGCGTCACGAAACGTGGGCCAGTGTTGTGCCAAAAATCAATCAGTTGCCAAAATGGCATCCACGGGAGCGTGCACAGGAGGACTTTAACAAGAATTTAACAATATTAACATTTAAAACAATTATTTGTTTGCTCGAAATTATAGTAAAGGTGTGTCTCAGTTGAACTTTTCCTTAATAAATGGACTTCAATGGTCAAATCAGCTGCATTTCTCGTGGGCGGTGCAGCGAAATGCAGGAGTTCTGGAGCGAGATGAAGGTGGCTCGTATGGCAAGCCAAGTGTCTCATTAATAACCACTTTTACCTATTAATGAGACACTTGGTTGTCATAATGCTCAAGGGCCCCTCTAGCGGCTGCAAATGTTAATGTTTAATATTTTTCATGTCGGAATGAATCAAATCGTCAGATCTCAGTCAAAAATTGGTTATAAATGGGAAAAACGTAAAATAGTCACTTCGGTGAATAAGTCGCAGGACGTGCAAATTTATGCAAAAAGGTGCGACTTATACAAAGGAAAATACAATACTAAAAACTACTGGAAGTAAAAAAGAGGTAACTTTTATACTTCTTAGAGAATTAGTAAGGTCTTTTCATTGCCTTAACCACAAGCCACTTTAACCCTTTAGTTGTTTTGTAACTGTAGACTTAAGAGGAAGTCAGATCTTGTTAAACATTTCATAAACTGCCTTTAACTAAATCATAAATTATCACTTTCCACAAAAAGGTGATACGTCTGTGTGAATCTGTCACTTACTAAAGTAACTCACGCTACTGGACAAATGTTAATGACACCTTCAGAAAATAATTTAATGTTTGCCTACAACTGATTAGGTTTGAGTCAACCAAATTCAAGATGGCTGTCACAGCTATTCAACATTAGCCAACATCAAATGTGTATCAGTTCCACAGATAATAAACTGAAGCTTGATGTGGTTGTACCCGAGTCATCCACAACATACTGAGCAAAATTTCAAGGTTTGACCAAAACGGCTACAACTCAGTCATTTTTTAACTTTAGATGTCTAAAAATCAGATTTTTTTTTTTTTAAAGAAATGTTGAAACGCAGGCAGGATGGAAAACTCTTCAAAGTCCTGCAGTAGAGTTGGCGTCAAAGGTGTTCAATGTTTTGCTGGTGCTCCTTTCAGCTGGAAACATCAGAGCTGCTATTTAAAAAAAAAAAATGCATGGAGCTCCGTTTCTTTTAGCACAAAGTCAGACATTCGTTTAGAAGCACTTTTATAAGATTCTCCTTTCAGAACAAGCCGAGCAGACCCATTACAGAGTCAGCTTGAGACAGCCTTTCAAACACAGAAGGAACTAACGTTAGCTCATCAACCAGCGAGCAGCAGAAAGCTGACAATGCAGCGAAGTGTAAAACAGCTGTCACAGTCTGGGAAAGGAGGAACCTGCTTCCGTCTGAAATTAGAGACATGCCGTCTAAAAATGACTGGTAAACCTGTCGCTGTGCTAATGTGCTACCTGTAAATACACAAAAAGCTGTGAGCTAAGAAAGAACTGGAAAGGATGTGTGTATACGGTGGATTTCACCAGAGATGCGTAAAAAGCAACTCCTTTTCTTTTAATTTGTCCTATTAGGTTTAAAAGAAAGAAATATTTCCCCTAACTGATTAAAACTACAGACTGTCCCCAAATTTAATGTTCGCAAGGCCTTCTCACAGTGAAGTGCTGCCTTGCAACAAACCCTGCCACCAATTCCCTGCCGAACCCTCCCCCTGAATATTACAGCTTAAACCGAGAGCCGCCATGACATTTTCAACAGCTTCCGGGGTTTGAGTGCTAAAATGATGAAAACATAAATATGCTCTCTTGTGATAAATGTCCTTTCAATAAAAATCGAGGAGAAAACTGAGGCGTAACGCACCAATTCGACTGTGTGCTTTTGATTTATGTTTTGTCTGCGGGGATATTAGATTTGCTGGTTTGAGTAATGGTCAGGGGAAAAAACAAACAAACAGAAAAATACTGCATGGATTCTGAGGTGGACACAGAAACCGACCTTGATGGGAGGTTTGCGGGTGATGTGGGAAACCAGGAAGTTCATGGCAATGTCCTCGCAGTTTATGTACTCGTCCACCATGTCCCTGATGGCCTGGGGCATCACGTAGGAGTACAAGTATGCATAGTACTGCAAGACAAAAAGACTGAATGACTGAGAAAGCAATAATCTGCAGGGTTTTTTTTTGTTTGTTTTTTTAATGGGAGGATGCTGGTTCTGACCTTATGGAAGAAGGCAGCTCCGGTCAGGACCATGGAGAGCTCACAGGAGTAGTTGGAGTTGTAGAGCCAGGACTGGTGGTTGACATCCCAGGCGTGGTACCTTCCAGGAAAACCCACGATGCGATCTCTGGCCTCACGCCACACTCTGAGCAACACCATCAAACACAAAAAGTCTTTCATTTCCACTCAAACAGAGCTGACTTAAATAATTTTCTGGAAGGAGTTAATGAAGAAATTTGACACATTTTCCTCACAATTGCTAGTCTGGCTTTTAAGGAACCATTTGTGCATATTCATCCATTTAAAATCCACTGGTTGCTCCAAATTAGCGTTGTGATACGCACCTAAAAACAGTTTTAGACACTGGTTATAACAAAAGCATCTCTCTTTGCTGACACTAAGACACTGCAGCCCTGCTCAGTGCTTCAGTTTATCAGATGAGATACTTGGAACTGCTCCCGCAGACCCAGGAGATCCCAGAAAGCTCAAAAAGCAATTTACTGTCCCTAATGAGTTCACGTGAAACCACTTAAATGCCCGAGATACTCGGCTGCGGCACAACTTTTCCTCGGCTGGAGTGGAAGTAAGAAAACATTCCTAAGTAATTCAGAGTTTGAGATAACTCATCACAAATGACCTAGCACGCACACACATACTTGTCTGGACAAGCTGCCATGCCACCGAGATGTACGCTGATTTGGGGGAGGAAAAAAAAAAAAGGTAAAACAAAAACTAAATACATATACATCACTATGTCAAATGTTCAATTGGAATAAATATAGCCTTTCAAATGAAATTAATCCAAGTGTTGTGTGAGTAAGATGCAGACAGCATGTACTGTTTATGTGTTATGTCCTGTTATCTCTTCGTTTTCATTCTCCGTCAGATTCAGGGATTTCAAGAATGTCATGTTATCTTTTCTTTCCCTTTTTTTTCCCTTTTACAGTTTTCCTTCTCAGAGATAAAAAATCTATGTCCGCTTTACAACATTACTGTTTAATAACAAAAAAAGGTTGAATCATGTCATCTGGACTTCGTTTTTTGTTAA